CAGCACACAATAAAATTTAATTCACCAATTTGTTTAAATGCCAAAGCCTTGACAGTGAAGAAGTTATGCATATGTTGAATAAACAACATAAACATTGTAACTAATTATGATATTTAGACACAGAAAAATGATAGATACGCAAGCTCAAAAACAGACAATCACATAAAAAAAACCCACACCAACTCATATGCTGACCTAACCTTTCTGCTCTTTCATGGTGTAAACTGAATGAGCCATTAGTCAACTGTGCAAACCACCAGACCAATGTATAGATTTTAATTCTATTAAATATGAATGGAGTTTCTGCACTCACAGGCGTACACTTGTAGTGATTAAAAAGGGTTTATGTGTACTTATATCCTTCTACCTCAAATGTGTTTCTGCTCCTACTCCTACAGGACTATTTTTAGTCATGTCAGTATCAGGGAAGGTAGATGTCACAGGAAACTCGCTACCACACGGGAAGACACTAGCAGCAATGTGGCAACTAGAGATCATAGAATGACAATAAATTCAGGAACATGTAGTGACAACAATAAAAAAAAGAAGAAAAAATGTGTTGATCTTGGTGGAATTGAATATAGAATACCTTCTGAACTGTCTGAACATGATATTACTTTTGCCTCTGGTGATTAAAATAAAACTTAGAGCACTTACTCTGACCCTTAGCATTAGGCCTGCCCAGTGTGAAGACTGACAACATACAGAGATTTCTTGACATATTACTAAATATAGAAAACAAATGCCTTGTTAATTTTGGCTGTTAAAGTAATATGTCACACAATCGTTAATTCTGGCCAGCTAACGTTTGCAGTTTCTTTGGTACTGTTACAAATGTTTACTGCTAATGGTAGTAAGCTGATTTAAAATGTTGCTCTGGAACAGCATTACAAATATGCATTTATTTTGGAAGATTGGCTAAAACATTTATGTTTAAGCTGTACCATAATTGTGCCTGGTTTTAATGCAACTTCTGAAATAGAGTATGAAAATAACTGGGAAGTGGTTTATGAATTGTTAAACTTATCCCATCCCTCTGATGGAGCAGAGGTTGTAAAGTAGGACACATCCTTTCCCTTCAGAGTCACAACAACAACAACAAGCTCAGCTCTGCTGTCGCAGCTGCTGTCAAACTAAGTTAAAGAGTGTGGGTTAGCAAAATACTTAATATCCTTAATATATCATAGATGAGTCCTTAAAATATGTGCATTAATATAATTGTACTCAATAATAGATTGAAAAGGAAAAGCAGATTTATAGTAAAAAAAAAAAAAAAAAGATTCCTTACACAAAAGCTCTATATTTGTTCTATGGTAAAAAAGAAAAGAGCAGCTTCGATTTATTTGCATTATTGTGTCATACTAGTGCCAAAAGGACATTATGATGCATCAAATACATATATTTAGTGATATTTAGTTATATCCGCAATAATTTCTGGCCCCTCTTTGTTCTTCTTCATAAAAAGCAGAAAGACAGTCCTGAACAATTCATGTAGAGCCAAATTAATTTTGCAGATATGTATAAAAAAGAAAAGTTGCAGTCATGCTGTCAGCGGGTGGCTCACTTGTAGATAGAGAACATTGACACCACCTACAGGCAGAATTACTATTATCTTTGTTGCTAGACAGGAATTAAAACTGGAAACTGCAGCTGTGCAACTGGTTCATATTCATGATCACATCATTGATATTGTATTCAAAAAGCAGTTTCTTTATTGGCAGAACCTCCCAATTAAAAAGGAAAGTGGTTACTGCAAGTATGTAGACAGGCAGGTATTGTGACATTTAATTTAAGTTTGTATACAAGATTCTAGGGCTGGGTATCGTCACTGATTTCTAGAAGCGATTCAATTCCGATTCACAAGGTCCCGAATCGATTCGATCCACGATTCGATTTAATTCGATTCAATTCAATTTGAATCTGGGAAATTTTGACAATCAGAAATATTATAATTCAGATCAGTACATTTACATATTTTTGTATCTATAAAAAGGAAGCTGACACACGCAAGACTTCATCAAAGGTGTGAGCATCACAGCAGATGCCTTTGTGTCAAAGTAGCTGAGGATAAAACACAGAAAAACATGAAGGTGATTTTCCTGGCCTGGGATTTTATAAAAATATTCTGCAGTACATCAAAAACGAAAGAAAACCATTAATCAACACATGAACATTACCTCTGATGTTACAGCGGTTTTATTAGAGACACGGCTAAGCGTTTTGCATTTTGCATAATTTTAAAAAATTTAAATTTGTTCAGTATTGAACGGCAGAAATTAGGTTTTCTTTTCGGAAGTATGTAAAAGGAAAAAAAAACAGCGGCCGACAGCTCTGTAAACAACGGTAGACTTGTGCATAACAAGCAAGCGAATAATGCAGAAAACAGATTTTTAGACGGGAAACTGTTCTTGAAGTACAGAGAGAGAGAGAGAGAGAGAGAGAGCTGTGCATCGTGGTCGAAGCAAAACAGTAAAAGTAAGAGTGAATATATGACGATGTTTATGTGAAGCGTAGTTTGGATCTTCTTTTGCTGCTGGTTCGGTCAATATTGTTTGGAGAGACATCAAACTAACAGCTTTAGAATCAGCGCATAAAGGGCGTGAACACAAAGTGCAGACCCGCCGACAGATCAGAATCAGCGAGCTGTCGGCTTTCAGCCTTTTGCGAAAGGCGACATCTCACTGATTCTGATCCGCGGGTTGCGCTGTGTGTTTAAGTCTTTGTGCAGAATCCGTGTTCCTGCTCTCATTTACTGTTTTAGCTGTTTGGTGGTTGTTGAAATTTTGTGAAATTTCACCAGAGATTCTGGCATTTCGGGCAAAATAAATTTATATTAAAAAATCGATTCAGGACTTTAATGAATCGATTTTACGTTATCCAAGCCAGAATCGATTTTAATCGATAAATCGATTATAAAAACCCACTCCTACAAGATTCCCTCCTGTGCTTTTAATTTAGGAACAAAAAAGCACAGCTTTAGAAAGCTGTGGTGATCTGAGCAGAAGAAAAAATAAAATATTAAATGTCTTCTAGATATTTGCCAGAAAGTCTCTGCCGCAGACTATAAAGCGTGACATCTGTTCCCCCAAATGTGACATATAGTGTTGGCCTCTGTTTCATTGTCCAACCTGGCAGGAGACTTCCTTCAACAGCTCTTCTGGGTATTTGCCAATGTGTCAACCTACTTAAATTTAGTTAAAGTGACAGTGTGTAGGTAACTGGAAAATCTTCCTTACATGTAATCTTCACACAGTAGTGTGCAAAACTGATGCAATTGCAGTTGTGGTACAGAGATTACAAATGTGGGGTGTTTTTTTTTTTCAACATTTTACGCAGCATTTCTTAAAAAACAAAACTCTTACAAGGGAGAAAATTCCCTCGAAGAAGCATTTAGAGAATATTTGCAGCTCTAAAGGCAGGAAGGCCAACTGTGTTTGCATCTGTTCAGTTGGGGCATGAAACCCCTTTGATCCTTAAGGAAAAAAAAGATTGATAGAAGTAACTGATGCAGTGCTGCAGGCTTGTCTTTACATTCTCAGTCATGGATTAGCTATCAGAAATTTTTGTTGTACCTCTCAGAATCCTCATCAGATATGCTCAGACCAGTGTCAACTGAAATTGGGAGCAGAAACCATTACTCAACAATACCATCACTGACAAGCAATATAATTTATGGAAGCTGTGTACAGGTGTGAATGAGAGTGTGAATGAAATGATATATCTGAATAACAAAGTCCAAATCAAAAACAAAAGAGCTTTGTGATCATCTTATGGTCATTATAAACTACTGTGCAGGGGTATTATTATGTTGCTACAAATTTCATATATTCAGTATCACATGTGAGAAGTTTGGGAGGACACCACAGTCAGTTAAGATATGAAATGTGATTCCTGTGTTGAAAGTGAGCTAAAAAGGTGCCAACAGTGTTAGCATGATTGCTTTTCTAAATAGCTCTTTAGGTGTATGCTTACAGTATATAAGCACCGTTAATAAATGGAATTTTTTGGTCTTTTATGTAGTTATTCGTTTGTGGCGTTCTTCATTATTTGTGTTGAGGACTTTCTGTTGAGTCAGATAGCCATATGTACAGTACACCCCAAGCAAACCTGATAATTTATCCTCAGGTTCGTCTGTGAAGGTTCTCAGTCATCCAGGTCATTGTAGTCTAAAACTCAGGAGGGTTCTCTTCAAGCACGACATCCCAGTGTATTTCAGACCCAGCAACACACTCAGACAAAAACTGGTTCACCCGAAAGACAAAACTCCTAAACACAAACTTAACAATGTGATGTATGCTGTACAGTGCAGTGAGGAATGCCCAGACCTCTACATCGGAGAGACCAAACAGCCACTTCACAAGCACATGGCACAACATAGAAGAACCACCTCCACGGGACAAGACTCAGCAGTCCATATGCATCTAAAGGACAAAGGTCACTTTTTCGAGGATGCCAATGTTCACATTTTGGAGAGAGAGGACAGATGGTTTGAAAGAGGAGTGAAAGAAGACATTTACGTCCACTGTGAGCGACCATCTTTGAACAGAGGCGGTGGTTTACAACACCAACTGTCTGCTATCTATAATCCAGTTTTGAGATCCCTTCCCAGACGCCTTAACATCCACTCATATCCTGGGCCATCTGACCTCAGGAAATCACATGATAGGGTGGGGCCAGGTTTCACAATGAGCTCACCCGACACCCTGGCTGATTGTGACCCACACCCGCTTTCACACCTTGGCTCATGTGATAATGGGTTTAAATCTGGGACTTTCCACCATTTGACCTTAGAACTGAAGAAGCTTCTGGATGAGAGGTGAAACGTCTTCAAGCAACTCATAGAAGTCCAGACGCTTTTCTTTCCAAGCTCCTTAGACCATCCTCGGGTTCATATAAACTAATCATTTTTGCCTTGTCACAGTCAAAATATTGACGCTTTAACTGTTCCAAAATAAATTTAAAAATACTAAAGTTCAATTTTGTGTCTCTTTTCTCTTTAGATGATGGACCATATGGGAAAACTAAGGATATCTCTGGACCAGAGCATACCATGGCCTCAAGAAGACATAGCATACCTGGTAAGTGGCCAACACCAACTACCACTAGCTACATACCTATAAATTTCTATGTATGTGTAATTTTCTGTCTGTCACTTTCTCTCTCGTTCTCTGTCTGTGTTTTTTAAGGTAAATCCTGAAAATTCTGTTTAAAGGGGCATAGCCAGTAGCCAATGCTTTATAAAAAATGTATTTCTTGGAAATTACCAATGGTCACAATTAAACATGGTCTTCCAAAGTAAACATCTTACCTAAGAAAGCTTTTTTTTGCCTGCTTTTCTAGAAAGCACACATTTATATCTGAGTCATGACTAACCAAAGTGGTCCAAAACTACACATTTAGTCGAGCTGATGACTAATACAGATTTTTTTTCCCCTTAGCTTTTTTAGCTGTTTTATAACCTCCTCATTATTGATGATTACCCAACAATACACTATAATTGACAATATGAATGAAAACTGTAATTTATGGCTCGTCAAAGGTTGAGAGCCTTCAGTTATATTTTCATCATCTTTTCATTAACTTCTTCTAGGCTTAAGGAATCTTTAAACAAGAATTGTTTTCTGCTTGTTTCCCCATGAAGTTTTAAATAGGTCTATTATTAGTATTATTCTGTGTTATGTATCTGTGACCTCTTTCTGATCATCTTTTAGGTCACATCTTTATCAATTTGTACATAAGTCAGCTACATTCCTAGAACTTAGGTCACTTTGCTTGCTTTAAAAATTAAGATTTATTTATTTATTTTTTTAAATTTTAAAATAATTGTTATTATTATTGTATTTTAAGTGTTTCCATTTATCTCATCATTATTACATGTACAGTAATACTCCTCCCATTTCTCTGTAGTACATCAATCATTCTACAAGTTTTCTTTTGTGCAGTATAAAAATCATTCTACAAGATCAAAACTTTATGAATTCCAACATCCTCAGTTCTGCAGCTTTGCAGAAAAAAAATAGTGATGGATTCTCTTCAGAAAATGTTCACATCATCCAGACTACATTTGGAAAAGTGTTGCTTTTATGCAAATGTGAATAGCACAAGGACTAATGAATGAATGAGTGCCTTTCTGCTAATAATGTGCATGTCCTCGTATATGCTGCGTAATGCCTATCAGAGATAACTGTGGTGTGAAGCACTTCACTGATCCTGAGTGTTGCCTGAGGGATGTACCTAATCTGGGCATCTATCACACAAAAGCTTTATCTCATCTGCTTGTGTGTTGATGTGTTTGTGTGTTTGGGAATGCTTCTGTGCGCTCATGGTGTATGTAAATGGTAATGATACAAATAGACAAATGGGAAGGCAACACCATGTCATGACAGCTCTGGGGTTTTAGTTTACTTATTACTTCGGTAAAGGCTTATTCATCTCCCAAGATTCCCCTGGCTGTTTTGTACCAAATTCCTTAGCCTTTTCATGAACCTAGAAAGTCTTACATTTTTCTTACTCGTGTCATTTTTTTTTTTTTGACCAGTAATAATTACTCCCATCATGACTTAACCAAACTCAATCGGTCTTATATGTTTTAGAATACCGAAAAAAATGACACAACTTCAACTCACTCTAAAAATAGTTTTTTAATAAGTGTTAGAATTTTGATGGAATTCTCATGAATGTTGTGTTTCTTTGGTTCATGGAGTAGTCTATTTAGGTGTTTAGGGAATATTGCATTAAGTAGTTCTTCTACATTACACAGTTCTTTTGTCCTCATGTTGAAAGAGTCCCAGTGGTCCACCAATCCTTGATCCTTGTTATCACAAAGTTTCTTTCAGAGGATTCATTAGAGTTTTAACTGTACATAACAGCTATTTCAAAGTTAATGAAAGTACATTATTGGTCAAGAAAATGTAGTATATTTTGTGGACAGTTTTTTTCAAATAATTATACTTACTATATTATTTGTTTGTTTGCTTGTTTGTTTGCTTGTTTGTTTGATTGTTTGTTTAATAAGGACAGTTAATAAGGAGTTGCAGATTATGTAAAATATAACTTTTTAGTAGCAAAGTATATTAGGTGCACTGTTGATTACTTTTGTTAATTTCTCAGCTGGAAGAGAAAATTGATCTAAACTTCTGCTTTCTACTGGTGTACTTTAACCTTTAAAGACCTTTTCATCCCTGCCAGGAAGTCTTCAAGTGGAGTGACAACAAGAGACAAAGGGCACTCCTAATTATCATGATCTGAATCTTATCTTGTCTTAAATTCACATTACATTTTAGTCATTTCAGCTCTTTTAAGCCAACACAAGATCGCTGTCTCACTCAAGGACAAACAGGAACAATTGTCTTAATTTTTTTTTTTTATCTTTTAGAAACTATTAAAGCTTTAATCCAGGAATTGGAATGAATGAACAGACACTAACCACTTATTCCTCTCCTGTATTTTGTATGTTTCATCCCTGTGTGTGTATTGGTATGTCCTTCCCTCTGCCTGTATTGTGTGTGTATCGTTTTTATGTGTGTGTGTGTGTGTGTGTTTGGTTAGAAGCTCTGCGGGGGGTGACTATGGTGGAGCTGGTGAAGAAAGAAGGCAGCACACTGGGCCTCACCATCTCAGGAGGAACTGATAAGGATGGAAAACCACGTGTATCAAACTTACGACCTGGAGGACTGGCAGCCAGGTGAGTGAAACACAGTCAACCTCGAAGACGAGGATGAATACATAGATTCAGACTGTCTTGATATTCAGCAATATTCTGTACCATAAATGAGTCATTTTATAAAAGGAAAAAGAAACATGTGGTTAAAGCCTTTCTCATTTGTGCAAGCCTTTACATGTTTTTGTCCCTTCGTTATGCAGGAGTGACCAGTTAAATGTTGGGGACTACATCAAATCCGTGAATGGGATCAATCTGACCAAACTGCGGCACGAAGAGATAATCAGCTTATTGAAAAATGTAGGAGAGAGGGTTCTGCTGGAGGTGGAGTATGAACTGCCCCCCACAGGTATGTATTTGTACAGCTAGGCTGGTTGTTTCTACGTGATTTATAAAGTTGTTAAGATATGAGTTAGTGATGTCAGTAAGGTCCTATCCAATATCACATTAGAAATTGCCAGATACTGGAATGAATACTGTAATTCTGAATAGAAAAGTAAATGTAAATGACAGCTAGATACAGACAAAACTCGCATGTCACCCCAAGGTCTCACTATGTAAAGTATATACTACTTCTTCATTGATACTGAACATTGGCGCTAGATATTGATACATTTGTTTACTTGTTAAGAGACAGCTCCTTCATTCATTTAAATGATTAAACTCTTGGCACAGTCTCCTGTCTTTACTGTACTTCTCAATCATAGGGATTTACTGATAGTCACTTTATAGCTTTAGATTATTTAACGTTATAAAACTTTGTCCTGTGTCATCGGAACAATATTTATACTGCTGGATCTATTACACTTGTCTATTTTATTTTATCTGCAGCACATGCTGAGGAAACACACACAGGAAAAATAATTTCATTTGAACATGTCCACCCTGTAAAATAACTAAATGAAAAGATTTGTTGAAAAGACATCTGTTCATGTCACTGAAAAGATTCCCACAAAAAGACAAGCTATTAGTTAAATTGGTTGGAAAAGTAAAAATGATACTTTTTCTCCTCAACACCTCTCCAAACAGCACAATACAAACCAAGGATCTTCACTCAAGAAAGCAGTGCCAAACGTTGCACTACCAATGGGCCCTACAGACTCCCAAGAGGCCTGCTCAACTATACTCACAGTGCAGCACACAATGTGACATAACCCAATTAAAAACAAAGTCTACATGAAGCTATATAGATGATACAAATGAGGGGGTTTTAATATTTAAAAGGAAAAATGCTCTATGGGAATGGCATTTAACTAGATTATTTGCTGAGAAGACAACCTTTCACCTTTCATTTTTCAACCAAATTGAGCTGTACAGTGTTGTATTTTGACAGGCTGTGGGTAGCTGAATAGATTTGCATCAGAAAACAACACTGATGGATGTTTGAATCTTCAACATCTCTCTTCAAAACATTATTTTCATTTTAGGATATTTAATTTTACGATAATACAAGTATAGTTTTTAAGTATAGAAATTTAAGGGAATCCTGAATTCACACTCAAATACCATGCATAGTTTAATGCAGGAGTGTTTTTGTTTTGTTTTGTAGTGTTGTAATTGAAGAGCATTCAAGTAATTATTATTGTTTAATTGTTCTACATTAAATATCAGTGCTCTAATGTCATGATGTAAACTTCAGGTTATGCTGATACATTTTAATTGTGCCGGATTAATCCCTTAATTCTCTCTTTCTTTCTCTCTCTCTCTCTGTGTTTCTGTGTGTGTGTTTCTTGACTCAAAGCACCAGACAGCACCTCAGGGGTTATATCAAAGACAATTGACATCTGTTTGCACAAAGAAGGGAACAGTTTTGGTTTCGTCATGAGAGGTATCTGTCACTTTAAAAAGGCCCATTACTGTATGTTTTTTATGGTTATGCACTTAGTTAGAAGTAACATATTAGTGAAATGGTGTCATCTACACTACATTGAACTGTTGGCAATATATTGTACAGTAGCTGTTCCCATATTTATTAGAAAGGAATTTTGTCTATGTTTAGTAAATATATGAATAAATTAGTTAATTATACTACTCATTCTACTGAGAGGAATATTTTTGAACTGCCACCTTGTGATGGTTGTAGTTTGGCAGTGTTTCTCTAGTTTGTTAATGTTAACCTCCTAGGACCTGGCATCCACATATGTGGACATCACATTTTGGGTTGTCTAGACCAAAATACTAAATTTTGGTCTACAAGAGCCTGATATCCACTTACGAGGGCATTATACTGGCACTGTTCTATTTTCCTCAGAAACAAAAATGAGGTAAAAAAAAAAAAAATCAGGCAATTCTTTGTTCTTACATTCATCAGGTCCCAATCAGCCCAAATAGCAAAGAGAAATTAAAAATGCATTCCATGAAAGAGTTCGGGTCTTAGGAGGTTAAAGGAATATCACTTTTGTGCTAAAAGGAAAAAAAAAGAAAGACAACATCACTCCCCTTGCTTTGTTTTTGTCGGTTCATCTAAATTTGTATTTAAAGATCTGAAGTTTACATTTTAATATTAGATATTCTCAACAAATGATACATTAAAAGCATTTTAGGATAAGGATAAAACGAACTTCCTGGCTGCAATGCTGTATCACATTTTTATTTACTGCAATGTAGATAAATAAATAAGTAAATATTAAGCTGATGTGGTATTTCTTTGTAATGTGTCTCCAGAATTTAGTGTAAAGAGCTTTGCCCTGCTCCTCTTACAGGTGGTACCCATGAGGACTGGCACAAATCACGCCCTTTAGTGGTCACCTATGTCAGGCCAGGAGGCCCTGCAGACAGGTACTGAATGCATGATTAAACAAGAATAACTGGCACACATGTAGGTGATGAATGGACGAACAGACTGACAACGAATGGAAAATGGTAGGGCCATTTTCCTGGCATGGATTGGGTTTGCAGTGTCACTGCAAGCCAATACACTTGGTCTAAGTGATGATACCTTTCTATCCTGATAGCAGTGGTCTCTTCAAGGATGGTATAGCCCCCATTCATCCTGAGGGGTCACTGAATGGCTTGATAAGTATAAAAATATATGAAATGCATTCTATGATCTCTGCAGGCACTTGCTTTAAAGTCAGTTGAACATCTATGGGAGACTTTGTGCTGTCTAGTTAGACTGTGTTCTCCAATACCTACAAAACACACCAAATAACAGAATATCCTTTCTGAGAACGGTATCTTATCCCTCAAACAGAATTACAAAGAATCCCTACCAAGTTGCATTTAAACTGGCGGTGCATAATGGTGGAAGAACTTATTAAGACCTGCCATGTTGGATTTTCGCTTATGCCCTTTAATGCATTTGCATTCACACATATGCATCAATATGTGTGAATGCAAATACTCCAGCACAGTTACACTGACATATTTAAACAAACATAAAAAACACATGCAGTGAGACCCAGAAATAGAGATTATTTAGTCTTTTTGGAAGGTGAAAAGGGCAATGTCTTCCCATTAAAAATAATGTCTGGGAGAAATAAAAGCCAGACAAGAAGTGGCCTCCATTGAGTGTAAACTAACAACAGCACAGCTCAACCCATTCCCGTTGGGAGTCTGGGAGATTTGTCTGTGCCTTCATGCGAATAGACCCCAAGGATAATGGTGTCATTTCCAGTGACCGTCACTGGTATGTCGACAGTTATGTGTTACTCATAGCTGCAATGGCATGAATCATCGTATCCTTTTAATGTTGTCATCATGTGTCTGTCTCAGGCTTGATGTTTAAGTCATAATACGACATTTTCATATACATGTCAGCTTTGATCTCACACAGTAATAATTAAACCATCTAGAAATGGTGTAAATCATATGGTTTTAGAAATAAAAATAATTACCATGTTTAAAATGGATATAGATATATATATACAGATATCCATAACTGTGATGGCCAAAGAAAGTCCACCATTTATAGAAAGTCAGACCTCATTTATTCTGGTGGAGGTTTGTTTGTGAAGTTTTCTTTCAAACCGTTTTTAAAGTTAAAAGCACAAAATTAATTAAAAAAGCCAAAAGAAAAGCAGTTTAGTTTTTCAGTCGGTGTGCTTCAAAGGACTTCAGTTCAACGAATTGATTGAATGTGAAAATTATGTGATTACAAGTGAATCACTGAGCTTTAAGAGTGATCTGCTGTCACCCACCATCATTAAAACACAAAATAGGAAAGCCATTTATTACACAATAAGGACCACTGAGCCTGTTTTAGAGGTTTGTAATAAAGCAATATCTTACATCTGATTGTCACACATCAACACTAGCATTAGGCAAGCTTTTGCACCCAAAATTTCCAATTTTGAAGAACATGATTGACTCAGCTGTCCCTTTTCAACAAAACATTGGAATATAACCTTCTTCTCTGATCACTTAGCAGCTGCAATCATTTCCTCCTAGAAATTCGAACTGTAAGTTGCTATTTTTATTCTGACAGGTCCTGTTTTGAGATTGCTCTGCAGCAATATTTAAAGCAGATGCAAAAGTGCCAAACTACTAAGCTTGAGTACTTAATGCCTCGTCTTTCTACTGATTAAGACATTTTACAGTTTCGTTTGATTCATAAGGGCTTGATTGTTGCTGTAAATCCATCTTCAATTTGTCAAAGCGACTGCCGACCCACCAGATTTTCAAATTCAAATTCAAATTTTATTTGTCACACACACACAACCATACACAGTATGACATGGGGGTGAAATGCTTGTAGCTGTACAATGCCTGACCATTAAATGACAGAAAAAAGTTTTACAGTATTTACAATTTACTACAAAATTTACAAATTAACTTAGGAATTTACAGTAAAAAAAAATGTGCAAATAGCAGAAAGAGATTATCAAGATTATAAATTATAGGATTATAGGAAGAGTGTGGTGGTGCGTGTGGTGATGTGATGTGATGTGTGTGAGAGTCCAGTCTTATAGTGATGTGTGTGGGAGAGTCCAGTCCTACACCTGGTTCAGGGCCCGAATAGCCTGGGGGAAGAAGCTCCTCCTCATTCTCTCTGTTTTGGCCTTAAGGGAGCGGAAGAAGAAGAAGATGGAAGAGTCCATTGTTGGGATGGGAGAGGTCCATCATAATCTTCTTAGCTTTGGACTTGCACCGCTTGGTGTAGATGGACAGCAGGTCAGGGAGCTCTGATTGAATGATGCATTCGGCTGTTCCCAAACCAGGTGCAGATGTTTGCCGTCAGGACGCTCTCAATGGTGCAGCAGTAGAAGTTCTTGAGCACCTTCAGTGGCAGATGGAAGTCTCTAAGTCTTCTGAGGAAGAAGAGACGCTGACGGGCTTTCTTAACCTGGGTGTTGATGTAGCAGGACCATGACAGGTCCTGAGTGATGTGGACACCCAGGTATCGGAAACTGTCCACTCTCTCCACTGGCGTGCCACTGATGATGAGATATATAATGATGTTGCCAAATTGGTCATTTGTATATACAGAAGTGTAAACCTTCATCAAATAATCACACATTACACGGCCTTACAGACTGACTGAACCTTCACTAGTTCACAGACAGAACTGGCAGACCAGGACAAAGATTAAAGATTAAATTCTTACTATTGAATTATTTTACCCTGAAGCTCATCTAATACCGTTCTAAAGAAAATCGTCTTCAAAATGTGGGTCAGTCCTGGGGAAACGAATGAGATATTCATGCTGTTTTATATCCCATTTATATGCCAATTGGAAAAAAAAAAACTTAATCCACAGCACCATACAGTCCCAGGAGTGTCCACATTTGTAGAATTACCCAGTGGGAATTAAAGTGCCTTCTCTGAAAGTGTTAGAGATCCATGGTGTTTTTTACAGGACCACAAAGAAACTGCTTTCACTTCATGGTCAGATACAGATAGAAAGATACCCTGCAGGTCTAAAAACAGGTTAAATATCAGTCAAGTTCTAAAAGCTTATTTGTTTCAATCAACATATGGTAGAACCTTTAAATTTTAAATTCCCTGAAATTTTCCCGGAATCACCTGGTATTGTACCTTTTCATGTGCTTATCCGACACCCTGTGTGTACCATGTATGTTATTCTGCACCGATATTCAAAACCAATGAAAAATGTGTAAATCTGTCAAGAAATACTCCTGTCACATGGAGTAATTCCTGCCACAATAGAGCCTTTGGGTTATAGCTTAGCTCGCATCATGTTGAAAAGCTTCAGGGCAATCAGCATCCTGTTTGAAGACATCTGGCTGGTATGATTACAGCTCAGTGTTACTCGCACTCTGACATCAGCATAAAGCATCTATCAGTGCTCTAATGTGGCCGCTGCATTAAAAATTCAAAATGTTACACATCCATTTTTGTGGAAGTAAAAAATTGCCTAAACGGTCCTCCTGAGTGCCTCTAAAAACACAGAGGATCTCTCTGTATAAGTGTTTTTTGTTTGCTTGTTTTCGTTGTTGTTGTTTTTTTAACCAGGCACTGAAAACAGACCAACATTTTAAATGCTGAAGACATTTCATGCTGTTTCCATGTGTGTCCTTGATTTTGAAATGAAGGTGAATTTTTACTGCAAGTCTCAGACAGATAAGAGGAGAGAAAAGAGGATGATGAGATCACAAGACAATATTGTGGAAGTGAAAGTTAGGAGAAGAAAGAGGCTTGGATCTAGCTGGGCAGAAAGGAAATGAGCAAGATGAAGAACTAAGATGTTAAAAGAACAAACAGGGCTGAGTGGAAGGAATGAAGAACACAGAATATGTTAGGAAAAAAAGGGAAGGTTTGGCATTTGATATTTCGTCATTTTTAACAGATATTATATGCTTGCTTTTGCAATATTTTCCTAAACACGCTAGAATTTTATGGAAGAAAGGAAGCTGGAACTACATGCAAATTGTAATTTCCAATCCCTGTCTTCTGTAATCACTGTATCACAAAATCCAATGTCATTTTTTTGGATGTGTGTGCGTGTCTGCATGCAGAGAAGGTACCCTGCGCCCTGGCGATCGTCTCCTCAGTGTGGATGGTGTGCCACTACACAACGCAAACCACAGTGATGCTCTCAGCGTGTTGGCCCAATGTGGCCAGGAAGCCCTGTTCCAAATTGAGTACGATGTAACTATCATCGGTGAGTCCACATGTAGACACACAGACATATGCAAAAAAAAAAAAGCCAAAATAACAGAGAGAGACACAAATTAAAGCTTGCAGCAAAATTTCTTTTTCTCAAATGCCAGTGAAATTTAAAAAATGGTTTTTTGGGGGTGGATTCTTTTGTTGTTGTGATTGCTGTTGATGTGTTGCCATTTTCTGCCACCTCACGCTAAGGTCTGCCTTATTTTTCTGGGTAAAACAGCTCAGTTTAACTTGCCCGAAAAGCACTGCAAGGAATCCCCTGCTAATCATGTCTGTTTATATTTTCAAGGACATATATGCTCTTAAACTTTTTCACTCTGCTGTTCTTGGTGAAACAGATATTTAAGGTATTTGTACATTCTTTCCCGTTCAGACTCACTGGCAAATGCATCTGGTCCACTGTTAGTGGAAATAGCCAAATCTCCAGGAGCAACACTGGGCATCACGCTGACATCAGCCAATCATCAAAACAAACAGGTCATTGTCATCGACCGGGTTAAACCTGGCAGCGTGGTGGACAGGTATGTATCTACATGCTACTCATTCTCCAGGCATTCTCAGTATTTAAAACCCACTGATGTCTTACAGACCCACAGGATGTTTCCTTTGGTGTGGGAGCTGTGATGCACACTGTAAAAAAAATCCTAATATAAAAGTATTTTACTGTGTATTTTACAGTTTTGTACTGTTCTTCTAGAATATCATTAAATTCACATAAATAGACTGTGATTTCACATTTCAAATGTAAATTAACGTAAAATCACCGTAAATGTAATAAAACATAATTTTCTTGTTTTTTAAATGTATTTGTCTGTACATATGCATATTTAGATTGTTAAAATACATTCACAAATGCATCATCATTTCACAAATATTTGTCCGTTATTTGAAAGATTGAACTGTTAAATTCAAATGTAATGCTATGGAAAAATATATAAAATGATTCGTATAAACTTTTTTTACATCAAATAATAATTATTATTATTGTTATTTAGGGCGATCGTGGCTCAAGAGTTGGCAGTTCGCCTTGTAATCAGAAGGTTGCCGGTTTGAGCCCCGGCTCGGACACTCTCGGTCGTTGTGTCCTTGGGCAAGACACTTCACCTACCACCTACTGGTGATGGCCAGAGGGGAATTATAAAGTGGAATTGTAAAGCGCTTTGAGGGTCTCAAAGAGCCCTATATGAATGCAATCCATTATTATTTAAACTAACTGTTAACTGTATATTTCTGTACATTTAAGTATTATTATTCATATTGCCGCATTCATTGACCTTGTTTATAGGTAATTTCATTGTTTAATCACATTAAATTGTTCCTAATTTAATGTTTAAAAGCACTTGAAAAAGGCAAAATCCCATGTAAAATTAGGGCAACAAATTGTATTTTCATTACTGGAAATAACCGTATTTTTATGAGTAAGTTATTTTCTGTTATTTTATGGTATTATTTCGGCACCCCAGCTGCCGGAATATTACTGTTTTTTTAAGATGTTTTTTCTAACAGTGCACTACAGAGTGAAATTAGTGCAACCAGCCTCAGTCTAACTTATCATATGTAAGAGAGCCCTTGGTGTCACATTTAAACCGGCTGGCTAACTGTAATTTTTCACTAAACAGAGTTAATATTCTTAGAAACACAACTGGCATGTATGTGTTTCAATACATGCCAGTTGTAGTTTTGCCTAGATTTACCCTTCAGGTTCTGAGTAAATTTTGTTCTGCTAGCTGTCAAACTACAACAGATGATGAAAGAAGCTCTGAGATGCTTTCAGATATTAAGACAACATTGTAGCTCAGTACAGTTTAAATCCAAAGTAAGTACTTCATGGACAGTTTTCACTCTGCAGAACTGTTTCCTTACTTTGTCTGTCTGTCTGGTTGGTTTGATGCAAAGTTACCATTAAAAGAATATTATGTATTGAAATGCTATAAAAAAAAATTTCTTGAGAACAGGGCTAGTGCACAAGAATATATAGTTTACACTTTTGCAAACATCTGTCAGCTGTATATTTCTCTTTTGTTGAAAAATGGTGGACTTTATAGTTTCTCCTTCAAGATCTAATTTGATTCTGCTGTTGGATTACAGATTTGCAGTGGTTGCATTTATGTTTACAGCATATCCTCTCTGTGTAAGAAAGACACAGATAAACACACATAGACTGTGTCCAACCTTATAACTTCCACAGACATCAGAAGACGGGATATTGCTTTCAGCTCCAGTCTACCTCTAAAATATACATGAAGCACTTGAACTCTGTGTCAGTGCTGAAATGAGTACTAAAATAACCTCAGTCAACAGGACAAGTTGACTGCAGAGGTCTGTGCTCTGGCACTATTCATTCCCACATGATTGCAAAGTCAGTTTGTAAAATCTAACCCCTGTGTGAAGAGCAGCGATATCATTCTGACCAGCACGGCAGCATGCCGTTGTGAGCTAAGCAGATTAATGTGTTTAGCTTATATACTGTTGGCAAAAGAACAAAAAAAAAGCTTTTCTGAAACAGAATGGAAGCTATTTGTGTTCTGTTTATTTATCCAGTGTATTGTGGCGATAACATTTTGTGCTTATTCTCTCTTTGTCTCTTTTGTATTAGATGTGGAGCACTGCATGCTGGGGATCACCTGCTGTCTATTGATGGGACATCAACAGAGCACTGTACGGTTCTGGAGGCAACACAATTAATAGCAAGCACAACAGAACTGGTTAAATTAGAAATTCTTCCCTCGCATCAAACGAGGCTAACTGGAAAACAGCATGACACAGGTGAGTGTAACAGCTAGGACCATCAGATTCACAGTAAACTCTTTGGTTATTTTAGTAATCAAAATTTTACAGTTTTATCTGTCAATATTTTATCTGTCAATATTTTATCTGTCATTTGGGTAAAATTTAAAAAAGCCACTGGTAATTATGGAACAACCTTGTTAAATCATGATGAATCAACTCTGTTTGCGGGCTCAAGCCTCTACTATGATGGCTGATGCTGCCATCTTTTCAGCCTGCTGCATTGCTCTTATTTGAATAGGTATGACTCCTAAAATTGTTCAATTGTCTTCCTACCAATGCACAGCTTTGTTCATCACTCTTCATGTGTAGTATACCTTTGGAGCCAGAGTTTCAGAATCACTTATTAACAGTTTATTTATTTATTTTTAAATTCACTTGCTTTGTTGTTGTTTTTTTGTTGCATACATGTTTATGAAATTAAACTGAATTTTTTTTTGCCAGAGCATGTTGTACTGACATTTAATAGCTGGAAACATAGTTAGATGGCAGTATTTGTAATAATTAGCATGACAAATGCTAATTATTGAAGAACAATGACCAACTGTGTATTTAATTCCTGGTCAGCTCTGATTTGGCAACTATTAAGTCGGATTCCCAAAAAAAAAAGCAGAGTAAAAACCACCAAGGAGAGTTTGTTTAGTCTTCCCCACAATTAAGTCACCTCATGCATATTTAGCAAATCCGAGTAGCAAAAAAAAAAAAAAAAAAATCCCATTCATTCCGGTGTCTTTCAGCCTCTTTTTTTAATATAACTCTACTTGAGGAATAATTTGGCCGCAATGGCAACTCACCCATAGCCAAGTGATGGCTTCTCATCTGTGACAGAATTAGTGCCAATGGATTTAGAGGGGAAATCCTGATTCCAGTAACTAGTTTTTTGTCGTATGTTCATGTGTTATTGCTTGCAGCTGAGGCTGCTTAAGTATGACAAGTGTACACATCACACTCACACAATGAATATTGTGAATAAATAGAAACACATCACAGTCAACACGATCCTCTACTTGTAGACGCTGTATAGTTTTATTTTGTTTTTCCCCAAAACCTTTTCAAAAAAAATCTTTTTTCGTTAGAAGAAAATCTTTAATGTGTTTCAGTCGATTCGAGATTCCCAGGAGAGGATGACAGAGACGCGATTAAAGCAACGGCTTTAAGACCGAGAAGAAAAACTAGATATTCTAGACTTGAACTAAACTAAAACCTTTCCATTAGTCTATTTTCAATAGAAATTTTTGTGTGGTGGAAGATCGCTCTCAGCATGAAAACAGACGAAAAAGTGAATGCTGAAAAGAGAAATGGCACATGAATGAGAAATAGAGTGACAAGGAGTGTAAAGGCAAGATGGGATTTAATTAAAGTCATTACACCTCTCTTCCAGCTGTCAAAAACTGCTTACAGCTTGCAACCTCCTCCTATCCCTTGTCCTTTTCCTCTCCTCTCTTCTCTGCTATTAATCTCTGCCTTTGACTTCTCTTATTCTCTACGCATACCTCATCTCAGAAATGCTCATCTCCTTCCATTTTGAAATTATTTTCTAGTGTTCCTCTTCGCTCTTTTTCTCTTTTATAGTTCTGTTGTGTTCTGGTATTATTTTAAAGTGACAAGAATGTGTGAACACAGCACACACAGACACACTTGTTCACTCAAAAGGTCACCATCTCATTTCATTTGTCTGCAAGAAGCTAAATTTATTCTTTCCTTCTTCTAATCACAGTTTTGTGACCGCCTTTGTGTGTACATGTGTGCATTTGTGTGTGTTAGGAAATGAACACAGCTCATTAGGATACTGATGGCCTTGCAGCAGACCTTAAAGCCAGCTTGCTGCTGCCTTATTAATAGACACTCTGATTAAAGGTTTTGCAGTTGTGTGTGTGAGTAAAGTTTCAGTCGGTTTTCTTGCCACATAGATTACGTTTGGTAAATCTAGACACAAATGTTTCTTAGAATGTTCTCATGTTTTGTGTATCTTCTCATAATATATCATGTGTAAATGAGTATAAGTGTTAATTCAAAGTGGCTTTGCTATGTGTCTGCTGTCTGTGGGCATTCACAGTGTGTGTTACCGCTGCCGTTCCTTGTCAGAAGGACCGTCTCTCCGGTGTGTTTCGCTGGACATAATGACTTCATTTTTACCCAAGGAGGATTAGATGAAAAAATGTTTCCTCATTTCACAGATCTCACCCCGAGGTTGCCCAACACTTCCGCTCCTCACACGTCCTGCCATCAGAGTAGTTTAGATAAAAGGTCTCACACGTCGAGGAAACAAAAGCTCAGCTGGATGGCTGTGGCAGCACAGAGTAGTTTCGGATAAACTTCAGAGTTTAGATACACGAGCATAAAGGGGAATTACACATAAAGCTGTGTAGATTGTCAGGTTGTCAGCCTCGATTGTATCATTAAATTCTCAGTGGGAGTTTCCTCAAAAGAGGTTTTCCCCCAAAACTGAAGAAATGCGCATTTTTAGCAGATAACATAGTCAACTCATTTTTTTTCTTTCTCCATAATGTAATAGGTAACAAGAAAATAGTCACTGATTCAATTCCCGACACAACTTGTCTTTGCGGCTGCATCTGAAAGGGCATCTGGATTCTGCCAAATCAAACATGTGGAGCCACCTGTTGCGCTCACCACTTGTGACAAAGGGAGCAGCTGAATGTAGCTTAGAGACACTTTTTCATGGACCTAATTAAGTGACAGTGAAATTAGTTTGGATTAAATGCAATACAGTAAGGTATTGAATTATATGTTCTCATATAATAGGTATTTTTGGAAATATGTTCACCTGATTGGTTGGTATGTGAGTGTTAGTAACCCAAAAAGTTTTATATCTCTTTTAATCACAGATGAAATTTGTTGTAGAGTTTAACTGATAAATGAATGAATCAAGCTGAAAAGTAATATGATCACTGCTTTAAATACTCACAGCCCACTTTGCTGGGTACATCTGTTGAAGTGCTTATTAACACAAATATCTAATCAACCAAATATACGGCAGCAACTGAATGCTTTGAGGGATATAGACGAAGCCAAGACAACCTGCTGAAGTTCAAAGCAGGCTTCAGAATGTGACAGAAAGGTGATTTAAGTGATTTTGAATATGACAACTATGCCAGACGGTGCCTGCTCCTAGTATTTCAGAAACTACAGATCCCCTGGGATTTTCACAGACAAACATATAGGGTTTAAGTGGTAGATGTGCTGGTGACATTGAACTACTCTGTGCAGTGGTTACCTGGGTGGCTATGATGTAGGGTCAAAGCAAATTGGTCCGGGGTGAACGGCCAGGTGAGGTGAGAGTTACAAGATCTCTGTGAAGAAAACACTGAGGTCTAACGACACGTCAATCAGTATCAGCCTAAAAGATTCAATCCATTGAGGAAAAGTAGATACTGCACAGCTAACTAGCTAAACAGCAAGCAGTTAGAATGGTTTTAATATGAAAAATATACAGATGCTGTCTGTGACAGCCCATGGCAATCAAGAGTTCTTGGAATGTGTGCTCTGTGTGATCATATTTGGATGAGACACGGGGCAAGACAAGCTGTACACATAACAGGAAGACAGCCATAAAGAGAGATATACCTATTATATAGGTTATAGATGAGTTATTATGTCCGAATCTCTAACTCACAATTTTATAAATTGCAATTCTGTAACATCTGCATTAATTTCTCCTTATCAGTGATCAGAATGGATAATAACTCACCTTCTTGGCAAATAGCAGACATGGTAGGGTACCTCCTACCTATATCTGTGACAATGATTTAGCCTGATAGAAGCCATTTAGTGGGCTGATAGCATAGGAAGAGCAATGCTACATGTACACAAAATCTAGGAACTTTTAGTTTCAGTTCAGACATTTGAATTTTATTATTATTTTATTATTAAAATTATGTAAGAGTTGGTGTAAGGTTGGTTTAGCCTACACCTAGCCATTGATTTTAGAAGTATTAAAATTCAATGCTCATGTTTCATTGCATGTGTTTTGCAGTCAAGGTTCAGAAGTCGGACCATCCCCACTCCTGGGACCCTTGTGTTAATTACTGTCCCCCTCCAAACTCCACTCTCTGCAACACAAGTTCGACCCTCAATAAATCGTGGACAGCCTCTAACAACAACACAATCAACAACCTTGACTACTGCAAGTGTAAGAACACAAACAACACAACTTGGTACTACATAAGTAAGACCATAAATTTTTAGTAGAAGTCTAAATTAAGCTGTATGCATTAATTTAGACGTCATTGCCGAATGGTATTTGGCTTATTGATGATGGCAGGCAATGTCTGTGAAAGGGTAAATGAGACATCAAATGTATGCTGCCCAGTGGAATGTATATGTAGTGTAGTTTAAAAAGATATATTTTAAAAAGCTCTACATATTTTAAGACTATTTAAAGCATGTCTCTATGAATTCTCATCTTGTCATTTAAAGATAAGCATCATAAGCATATATTTTAAATATAAGTGGCATTGTGCAGTGCAGTGTCTTTGGTCATGTGGAAATATGACAAGAAAACTGGATGTTTCGAAAGAGGCCCAAGCAAGCACAAGGAGAGCATATACATTTCTCACCAAACCCAATACCTTACAGCTGTGAGACAACACTGCTAACTACTCAGCCACCATGCTGTGAAAATAAAGCACCAAACAAGAAATAAAATTTTACCTGACATGTCCATGTTTGCGGTATTTATCATTTGCTCTTTGACTCTTTGTTTTCCTTTTCCATTTCCCAGAGGAAGAAAGAGATTTATTAGCATCTACTTCTTTGGTTTTATGATTTAATTCTTAAAAGTCTAATTTATTGCTCATGTATTGCAATATTGAAAATAGACTTCTTTTCCCTCACTCTTTTTTTGCAGCTCTTGTATCAGCCAGTTTCTCTCCTGCCTCTACAACCACTTCTGGGCCCAGCAGCCAGAGCTCGAGCACGTTACCCAGGCCCACTGTTCCCATGAGTCCCCGTAATTCACTGCTTAAACGGCGGCAGAGAAAGAAAGAGCATAAGAGCTCCTGTAGGTTCCATCTCCCTGTGTCTCTGCATGATGGATCTAATTTCCCAGAAGGGATGAAACTAACTGTAATCTATGTGCCTGTGTGTTTTTAGTGTCCCTGGCCTCCAGTTCGGTGGGTCCAGGTGGTCAGGTGGTTCATGTAGAGACCAGTGAGGTTGTCTTAACAGGTGACCCACTGAACGGCTTTGGTGTACAACTACAGGGAGGAATATTTGCCACCGAAACGCTGTCAGCACCACCACTTATTCGATTCATAGAGCCTGACAGCTCTGCAGAGAGGTGAGCGTGCATGTTGACCCAGTCATAAGGATGCACGTTTGTAGCATAAATTAAATCTAAACTAAAATAATGGTCATCTGTAGCTTTTTCACTACAATATCAAATTTAGTCTGACTTTTTTTTTTTTTTGGCACTACAATGTCAAAAGTCTTGTTTTTGTTTCCCTGCTTTGTGATTCACTGCCCCACCGTCATTGTTTTATTTCTGGTTCCCAGCTGGCCATGTTTCCACCTGTGTCTGTGTCTTTAGTCAGTCTTTTGTGGACATATAGTCACAGGCTTTTCTTGTGTCGCTAATTTGTGCCTCTAAATCACTTCCATTCTTTGTCTTATCATTGACCCAAAAATCTATTTTAGTATGCTACACTGTTTCAATTCCAAAATGCATCTGGAAGAGAGAGGACAGAAGTGGTTTGTCAGAAGGGATATATAGAAGGTGCACAGGTGTATCCTTTGTACAAATGTTTTCAACCTCATTGTCTATAAGAGGCATGACACACAGTTGGCATATACAAACATGATGGAAAGAGGACTCTTCAAATAACTCATTCCTTTAAGCAACAATCCTGTGTGGAAATAAAAAAAAAACCCTATAACATCTCACATTGTCTCATCTTGTGAATTTGAGTAAAAGTGACCCTTCATTAAATACAAATCTGCCATAAGTACAGTTATATCTGAGATCTGAAAATACAGCAGTAGTTGGACTATGCAAGTACTTAAATTTATGTTGTGCTTTCCTAGTCTTAGTGATTCCTCAGTGCTTCTAATTACACTTTAACCATACATACAGACATTCTTTTTATTCCATCAACATCAAGCACTGTACCTCACACCCGTGGGCAATTTAGAATTACAAGTTAACCAAACTGCATGTCTTTAGACTGTGGAAAGAAACCAGAGTAGCCAGAAGAAACCCACACAGCCCCAGGGAGAGCATGAAAAATCTACGCAGAAAGAGCCTTGCTGGAAACCTTCTTGCTGTGAGGTGACAGTGCTAAGCACTGTATCACCACGCCACCTTATTTCAGATCTCATGTCTATTTCAAGGCACCACCCTTCAACACACCCTCTTTCCTTATGACTATTTTAGATTCAAGATTCAAGAGCTTTATTGTCAATACACAGTATACACAGTATACAGGTACCGAAATGCTGTTTCACCCCAAGCCCCCCATGGTGCATTTATAAGTATATAAAAGATATATCTCCAAGAGATATAAAACTAGGATTTACAAATAAATAACATGCTAAATTTCGGCAAAATTAAGGTAAAATTAAAGGTTAAAAAGGTACTAATTACTAACTATACAATGCTATACAATACTATAATGCTAACTATACAATTCTAAATGTACGATAAATAAAGACAGGACAGAGACAATACAAAGTGGATTGTGCCATAGGTATTGAATACCAGGTTCAAGTTATTGTCCGGATATTGTAGACGAGACAGGGCGAATGTCACGGCGAGTGAGATGAGCCGTATAAAAATAATAAATGAGGATCCAATCGCAGGCAGTAGTGGAGGAGTGAAGGTGGTTTATTTAACACAATGCGCCAGTGGAAAAATGGAAACAGAGATCACACTAAACTATACTGGAGACAACTAAACTACTGAATACGAACCGGAACTCAAACATGAAGCAAGG